ATTTTTTAAAATTCTAATTGAATATCACGTGAATTTTTTACAATATTCTTTAAAATTCTAATTGAATATCAATGGATTTTTTTGTCCAAAAATAATACATTAAAATCATTAAAAATCTGAATCTAATACACCCATTAAATGTAGAGATAGTGCATTTACACTACAGTATTTATTATTATTATTATTTTGGATAAATCACATGTATCTTATATCCGAAAGGTAATTTTGTTTGAGTCAAAAATATTCACATTATTACAAGACTAGCTCTACTAAAAAAAATTTACATTTATAAAAACTTGAATAAAAAATATTGCTTAAACCGAATCAAACATTTATTACTTAAATCAACTACTTTGATTACTACAGTATCCATTTTGAATCATAACGACAAAGTGACAAACTATCCGCTCTGCGTCGTACCAAAGTGAGCATTTTGTTTGAAAGTACTTGATTTTGAACTGAAGAAACAATCGTTAAAAAGAGTAAAAAGTCAAAAGGAATAGTGTTGAGCTCGCTGTGCCTGTGAAATTCGAAGTACGAATAATTTTGAGAGGTACGAGAGAAAATTATGCATAACGATGCAAGGTTATCGTTGTCTGTCAAAACGCCTCGTTCCCCTCCCCACCATGATTGCAGATATGAAAATAAACTTTAACGACTTTATCCTGTTATTAACGACCCACCAAAAGGCAACGTGTCTCCTCCTAAACAAATTCAGCTTCCAAGTAACGTACGTTTCTGCAGTTTATCATAGAATCCTATGTAGATGCCAATGTTGTTTTTTTTTTATTATTATTATTATCATTGATTGATCAATTATTTGACTATTCGGGTAAAAATTATATGGATAGCAAAATTCTCCCTTGAAGTTTTAACATAGATATTTGATACAGAAAAAAAAATTATTCATGTGAATCACGATTCCAAATAATATAATGGGAAAGTAAATTTTTCAAAAATTTGGTAGACTAAATTATTTTCAGAAATATAGGTTCAAGTTTTTCTGATTTTATATTTGGTTGATTTTCAATAATTCTTAAAAGTATGAACTGATTTTACAAAATTAACATTTGATGAATGATTACAATATCTAATACTAAACTTCAATAAAATTAGTTGAGAGTTATTGAAAGTCAAACACAAGCTCCAAATGATTTGAAGATCAATTCAACATGTTAGGAATTTCATACAGTTGTTTTATAAAGTTTTTTTTTTTAAATAAAAATTAAAAATTGTGTTGCAAAGATTATCCAACAACAATTTAATATCACTAACCAAAAAAATATTAGGCAGCAAAAATAATATTGCAGTCAGAAGAAACCAAGATATATGATTTTCCATAAGTCTTAGTAATGAACTAAACAGGCCATAAACATGAATTGGAATTTAATAAATGAGTAAAACTTGATCCGTTCCTAATCGCCATTAATGTTGGTGCAAAGAATAGCACTATATGGAGAAAGAAAAATATCTCAACAAAAAGGCATTGTTTTACACAAAATTAATTTAATTTGCAGTTATCAATTTGTTCTAACAAGAGAGGATGTATTTTAGTCATGAAAATATTAAAGCATAGTTATTTATGTCCTATAAATTATGTAAAAAATTTCTGTCAAGTAGGAATCCAAGAATACCACTCCCTGATGGTATTATTTCTCTGGGTTCTTTTTCATAATTTGAATTCCCAAGAATCTCATTTTTCTATGAAAATTTTTAAAATCTATATACCAAAAGTGAGTTAATTCCCAATATTAGTTTCTTGATAATCTAAAATTTATCCCTCTACCAAATAGCTGTCAAAGGAAACGAATTCAAACACTAATTAAACTAAAACAACCTCTTACTACTTAATCCACATGATTGGTGGTATGATATTTTTCTTTTTTGGTAATCAAGGTGGTATGATATTTTACCTTTACGTTTAGCCCTAGACTTTGCCCCCGTGTTTTTGTTTTTTTTGGGCGGGGAATTGATTTTTTAAATTTTCTAGACAAGATTGATGATATACCTCTGCTTAGGGGTGTTCGCGGTCTGGATTGGATCGGTTTTGGAAGCAAAACTCATCCGATTCAATCCCTTCGGTTTGATCATGTAATCATCCATTCGGTTTAGATTTTTTTTCAAATCCGATCCAATCCAATCCAATTTTTTTCGGTTTGGATTGGATCGGTTTTCGGTTTTTTGAATATCTTAAAATTAGTCTCATGATTATTGTACAAATAACATCTTTTGTACGTATTGGCTTTGTAAAAAAAAAAAAAATTTGAAATACAAAAATATCACTAAACAATATTACTATAGTTGATGAGACGTGATTAAGTTTTTTTTTGTTTAGTTGATGAGTTAATGGGTCTTGAGTTTAGAAATTTTTGGGCTATGATTGGAGAAAGGACAAGTAGGTAGAGGATAATTAATATATTGGATCGGTTTGGATTGGATCGATTTTCATCAACCCATCCGAAAACCGATCCAATCCAATTATGATTTGCGGTTTTCTTTCGGTTTCTGATTATTCGGTTTTCGGTTTTCGGTTTATTCGGTTATCGGTTTTTCGGTTCGATTTTCGCGGTTTGAATCGGTTTGGATCGGTTGATGAACACCCCTACCTCTGCTTCTCTCTAAGTATTTATAGATTTTGTTATTTATTTATTTTTTGTTATTGAAAGGGGGAGGAAGACCTTTTGACTTTCCTAGAATTAGATTTACTCACCACAGTTTTTAAATATTAATAGTAGATTTAGGATTTTAATAAATAATATAAAAAAATCAGTAAATATTATTCTTCATAATAAAAGAGTATGTTTTTATTCGAATAATTATTTTTTATTTTATTAATATTTTCTCTCATCTTACTTAATAGAAATATCAAGATAATAGAATAAGGAGAAGGATATTGTGACAACCAAGTTATGTTACTACCAATCAATCTTATCATTAGATCGATTATATAGATCCAACGATTATATTTATTTCCATCTTTGTATGGTCATGATTTCCCAGATTTAATACTTTATATTTATTTTCACCTTTGTATGGTTATGATTTTTCATATTTAATGCTTTCACTTTAAATATGGGGAATCATGAACATACAAAGATGGAAATAAATATATCCGTTGGATCAACATAATCGATCTAACGGTGAGATTGATTGGTAGTCACTTGGTAGCAACACAACTTGGTTGTCACAATATCCTTCCCCATAGAATAAAATTAAAAAATAATTAATAACTTATTATTTTAAAATAAAAGAAAAATCGATAAAAAAAGAAAAGAAAAGAAAACTAGATTATCAATTGAAGGCTATACATAACTTGCAAACAAAATTCAGTGAGTTGGAATTCCACCAAACTCTGCTTTTGAGAAGAGACAGATTTTGATTCCGACGTGCACTTCAAAACATTTTGCTGTACAATAGATTTTTTCACATTCCCATCTTACTAACGATCATAAATCATGATGCCTCGGTACCAGCCTTTAGAACTCACTATTTGTGATTATAAATGAATCACTTTGAACTAGATGACACCCAGATGATAAAATTTTGTTTCATTCATTTGGCTTGCTTATGATCAATCAAAAAGTTATGATATTCTTTGTCATCTGCTTTGCCGAATAATGATTAGCATTCATATCTAATTTGAAAATTAGAGAAAATAAACGGAATTGTACTCAGTTGCTATGGCTATCATATGGTCGGAAAGGTTTTCCTCTTGTCAATGATTGAACATCAAAAGCCATTACAACAACCTGAGCAGAGATTTGGATTTGCTTAACTTTTAGGATTGTATGTATTCTGAATTTAGGCTACTCAGATTATGAAATGGATTAATTTTCCTTTTCAACGGGTTGAAATTACAGATCATGTTGGTGAATTTTCAATTTTGACACGTGACTCGTACGCATAAGCATAATCTTTTATTTGAATGTCAAAATAATAATAAACTTACTAAAAAATAAACATTACTTTTAATTTTTAAAAATATCTTAAACTATCAATATCATAGGTTTTTAATATAACAAAAGTAATGTTTTTTGCTTTTTGTTTGAATACTCTAGACATTTTGAGTTTGAAACTGATCTGTTTAGAATACTAAAATTAATGATCCCAACATCGTGTTTGTGCATGTTTGAACGCTTAACATTTTAAAAACCCCTCAACTACATGTTTATATATATATATATATATATATATATATATTGGTAAAATCATTTCTGCAGCCGCTTTACGTACAGCCGCGACAGTTGTATGATTATGATTCTCCACGTTTAATGTTTTCATCTTTTGTATGGTTATGATTCTCTGCATCTAATGCTTTCAAGTATATATGACAATTATTTGATTGCTGCACATACAACAGCTGCAGAAATGAAAATCTCATATATATATATATATATACTATCGCTTCTCAAGCCGACAGAAATAAATATATATATATATATATATAAGGCTTATGATTCCTATATATATATATATATATGGTTATCTCAAGTTGTCGGAGAAATATTTTTTCCATATATATATATGAGTAAGAATAATTTGACACTAATATAAGGATCAACATCTGATGTAAGATTTTTTTATTCCTACATCGCTTGAAGAGTATCTTGTCCTTCTCTTTATTTTTCTTTTCATTCTTTTGACCTATTAGAAATTTTTTATACAGTATTATTAAAAAACATTATAATGTGAGAATTACATTTAAAATATTGAAATTAAATTTACAAAGAACGTTGACTTGTGAGTTACAATATATGTGGAGCTTAAAAAGTAATAAATAAAACAAGTGGAGGACCACAAAGGTAAAAAAAAAAAAAAAAAAAAATTAACAAGAAAGAGACGTTGGAACCTTAGGACAGTCCCCGCCACCTCAATGGTTAATACAGTGGTCCACTCTTTATTATAGCTAATTAATTATAATTCAAAACGGTTAATATTCATATTCAAATTCCATCTATAGTTAAAAGATGAGATTGAGAAAGTAGAAGTAAAACTAAACCATGGGCTGCAACACTTCAAGAATCAATGGCTTACCTGCGGTTGCTATGTGCCATGACCGTTGCAAATTTATAGACGAAGCTCTTCGACAAAGCTATGCCGTTGCGGATGCGCACGCCGCACACATGCAATCTCTTAAAACACTTGGCCCTGCTCTCTACCGTTTCTTCAATCGATTTGAAATTGAAGAAGAAAATAACCCCAAATCATCATCACATTCACCCTTTCACCCACATTCTAAATCAGAAGCAGCAGAAGCAGAATCCGACAACGCAGATAATGAATCCCAATTTTTCAACCCATGTCGTTATGACTCTTCACCTCTTTCTCGTAATGTCCATTTCACTAATTATGTGCCCTCACCGCCTCCTCCGACAACCTCGTCCTGGGATTTCTTGAACTTGTTCGAAACCTTTGACAAGTACCAAGTTCCGTACACTGAGGAGAAGAAAAAGGAGGCTGATTCTGATTTGGAGGTTAAGAAGAAAGAGCCGTCACCGTTAACGGAACATAACGACGTGAACTCCTCCGTTAAATGTTTCTCTGAGGCAATGAAAGAGATTCAGATTCTACTAGAGAGAGCATCGGATTCGGGTAACCCAATTTTGGAAATGCTCGACGTTGGGAAACTCCGTTACCATCGTAATATAGCCGTTAATCCAGGTACATGTGAATATTTTGAATTTTAAGAAAAAATTTAATCAAATTTAATACTTTAAAAAAAAGTTTTTTTTTTTTTGGGTTCAGTTTCTTGCAAGATGATGCACGTGTCAAACCCCCTTAACTGCATGGATTCCTCGTCGCTTGGTCGGAGAATGTATGAAGGAGTTGAGATAGACAAGGGATTCAGTTATGGGAATCTTTGTTCTACTCTTAACAAGCTATGTATGTGGGAGAACAAGCTCTATGCTGAAGTCAAGGTATGGATTATAAACAAAAATTAAAGGAAAATTGTAACAGAATTAAAGATTATTGTTAGCTTTATTTCAAAGTTATTGATAAATTGCACAATGTTCATTGTTCGTTTCTAGAATTCTTTGATAGAATACAAAATGTTTCGCAATATTCAACATGGTGTTTTATTCAGGCTGAGGAGAAATTGCGCATACTTCATGAGAAGAAGTGTAGGCAATTGAGACGTATGAATAAGAAGGGTGCTGATGCTCACAAAGTTGATGCCGCTCAAACTTTGATTGGGATTCTAGCTACAAAAATCAACATTTCTTTTCAAGTAGTTGATAAGATATCTAGCACGATTTGTAAGTTGAGGGAAGAGGAGTTATGGCCACAGATTAACAGTTTCATTTTCAGGTATGTCATGGCAGAAGTTTCTTGTCTCGAAATTCTTCTCTAATTAGTTAAAAACTCTGTAGTTAGAAGGTACGGGTGACTATCCTAACAATTTTAATATCATAGTTGTGTTGCTATCGAGAGAGAGCCTGAAACAGTGATTAAGGGCTTGTTTGAAATCAGTTTTCATAAACAGATTTTTGATTTTTGATTTTTTTTTTTTAAAAACTCGTTTGGTAAAGTCTGTTTTGTAATAAAAAAAAACTGTAACTGTATTTTATTTTAGAATCGAATCTAGAGAACATGTCTGATTTGTTTTTGTTTTCTGTTTTGATTTTTAACTCTCAAAACAAAAACAAAAAACATAAAAGATAACCGTTTCCATAACTATTCTACAAAACAGTTTTGAAAACAAAAAAACATAACACAATCAAACAGGCCCTAAGTTGCTCTTGTGACCTTGGTCACGGTTCGAATAGGAGAAATAGTTTTTTTGAAAATATGCAAGTGTTAGGTTGTTTACGAGGATTGTCCTCGTCCCTACCCTCACTAGTTAGGGTTTAATTTAGAGTGATTTTAGTTGTGTTGCTGTGATTAAAATACATAAGAAATAGTATTTATACTTTTGATGTCATAATCTTGTTTTTCATTCTACAGCAAAAGGTGCTTATAATGTGCCCAACAACCAGAGGTAGAGATAATTGATCTGATGAAATCCATAGACACAGGAATGACCCAGTTAGCAAGAGGAAGAAAACAATGAAATTGCATTCTATAAAAATAGAAATTAATACAATTTTTAGCAGAGCTATTATTCAGTGTTGTTTATTTTGCATTAAGAGGCATGTGTTTCAAACTGAAATCTTACAGAAACAAATTTGAAAATGGAGAGTTTAGATACTATAAGAATGATAAGAAGAGTTATAAGTGAAGAAAGTATGAACTTATGTACCTTGTCCCGCAAAATCAAGTGAACCTCTTAAGTGGCTTCTTATTTAGTAGTTCATCTATTTATATAAATTTATTGATATTGTTGTACTTCACTCAGTATTACTTCTATAATTTCTTCCTTGAAGGCATAAGACAGAATGTTATTTTCTTTATTTGGATTTTTCCCCCTTTCCCCTTTCTACTTGCTAATAGTTATCCATTTGTGGAAAAGGTTTCTGGGAATGTGGAAAGAAATGCTAGAATGTTATAGATGTCAGTATAAGGAAATTGCTGAAGCCAAAAGTTTGGTTGCCACTTCATTGAGCAGAAAGCTTAGTAATTCTCATCTTGATGAAATAATAGAACTCAAATCTGAGATACAGAACTGGAATTTAAGCTTCTCAGATTGGATTTATGCCCAAAAGTCCCATGTGAAAGCCCTGAATGGTTGGCTAGTAAGATGTCTTGTGTATGAACCTGAAGAAATAACTGATGCCACAGCTTCCTTCTCTCCTGGGAGGACTGGGGCACCACCTGTGTTTGTGGTCTGTACCAAATGGTCAAGGGCAATGGATCTTCTTTCAGAGAAGGATGTAATTGAAGCCGTAAATGTATTTATTCTCAAAGTGAATGAGATCTTGGAAAAGCATGTTTTAGACCTTCAGCAAAAATTAACATTGGACAAGGAATTGGAGAGGAAAGTGAAAATCTTGGAGAGACAGGAGCATAAGATGCACAAAGTGGTTCAGGCTCGAGAAAGAAAGATGGTTCCAGTTGCCAAAAAAAGAAGCACAAATATTGGAGGGGATGCTGTCCATCATGGTGAACTTGACATAATTAGCTTGCAATCAAGTCTCAAACATATGTTTGCTGCAATGGAGAGGTTCGCTGCCACCATTGTTCCTGCATATGAAGAACTGTGCCAACAACTTGAGCAAGACAACCATGTTTTGGGAGAATTCAACAACATTCATTAGTTTTATACCATTTAGGTTGGATGATTCATTGATTCTTGTAGAATTCAACAACATTCATTTAGTTTTATCATTGATTCATTATGTTTATGGATACATATATCTTAATGAACTATTTTATGTTTATCAGAATTTTATGTAGACAGAAGTCTCAGAATTATTTTGATGCCATTTTGTAACCGATGATTTGGTTTTAATCCAAAAACAACAAGATTAATTATAAGAGGTGTTAAGAAAAAAATGTGGTAAGTATGAGAAAGATTATACTTAGAACCTCTTTTCCCTTTCACCAACTGCTATGGTTGTTGGATCAAAATAAAATCAACGACTCATTTAATGTCATTTTGTAACCGTTGATATGATTTTGATCCGATAACCATAAAATTGGGTTGTAAGAGGATGTAAGGAAAAAATATTGTAAGTATAACCTGCCTCGGTACACGTATAACTTCCCAAAAAATTCAATCATTCTATTAATCCTTGTTAAAAACCATAAATTATACTTTAAAACGGAAAGATTACAAATATTACATGAAAAGGTAATACTTATCACTTTTTTATTTATTTTTTTATCATCTCTTAGCACCAATCTTGTTATCGTTGAATCAAAATCAAATCAATAGTTATAAAATAAAATCAAGTGAAAGTCACTGATTTAATTTTTTTGGATACATTGAGAAATTGAACACACTACTTATTACATAACTACCCACATCCCTCACCACTAGAGTAACCCTAATGACTTTCATAGTTTCATTGATTTAATTTTGATCCAATAATTATAAGATTGGTGATAAAAAATGATAAGAAAAAAAGGTGATAAAAATAACCCATCCCAATCTTATAAAAGAACTATAACTCCTTGGAAATTTGTTTTGGCATGGGAAAATGCCCCTGAACAAATTACAAAGTAAACATGCACAAAAATGCAACTGACACGTAAAATGAAGTCGCTCCTAAAGAAGATAAAAGGTAACGAGGGAAAGAACCTTAGGTCCATAACCCTATTTTTTTTTTTTTTTTTATAATCCTTAGGTCCATAACCGTTTATTAACAGGAAAACGTGCGTACGCTAGAAGTGACTTCGTTTAGAAAGAACCATATTTTCTTGTGAATGAGCTGGTCTATTTTTTCCCCTTGAATTTTATAAAGTATATTTGATTTATTCTTACATTGTAAATGTCTATGCTTTTCTTATAGTACAAACATGCTTGTGTATCTTAAGTATACCAATACAATCACACAACATACAGTTCAGCTTTTCCATCAATAAATAGGCTCATGAATTCTTCACCATCCACAGTTTCTTTCTCTATGAGGAGTTGAGCAAGCTTGTGAAGGATATCAACGTGAGTTGTGATTATCTGCTTTGCCCTAGAATAGGCTGTCTCTACCAGCTCCCTTACCTCTGCATCCACTATATCAGCAGTTGCCATGGAGTAATCTTTTTGCGTTGACATCTACAATTAAAATTATAGGTAATGGTGAGGCATTCAACTATGTACTAGAACAATGTTTTCTGTGCATTAAAATGTGAACTACTTGTGTCAAATAAATTGGGGTGTGCATAGTGCGGTTCGGTTTTCTATACCGAACTAAACCGGTTTTGAAAAATGATTTGGTTCTTAAACCGACTTGAAAAAATGTGGTACGATTTGGTTCGGTTTGGTTTGCGGTTCAATTCGGTTCATTTGGTTTTTCCACACTTCCAAAAGTGGGTATGGTTCGGTTCAGTTCAGTTTCGAATCGGTAAAGTGGTTTGATTCTTGAACCAAACCAATTTTGAAAAAACGGTTCAGTTCTTGAACAAGTTCAAAGAAAATGATTCAGTTCTTGGACCGGTTCACACCCCTACAAATAAGGACATAAATGAATATTAGGTCAGAGTGTAACATCCTACCTGTTGGCCCAAGAATGGATTTCCACCAGGTCCCCCAATGGCAATTTGTCCAATCTTTTTGCTGAACCCGAATCTCTCAACCATTTGCCTTGCCACCCGTGAAACTTGCATAAAGTCACTTGATGCACCAGTGGTGACATTTTCCTCGCCAAAAATGACCTCTTCAGCAACCCTGCATTGGCACAAGAGAGAAAAGGAATTTGTTACATAAGATTCAAAGCTAAAACTTGGGCTTTTGACATCTATAGGCTTATAGCCACTCCTTTAAATATATACAGCTATAATCAATTGTAATAATTAACAACAGTTTTTATAGCCAATCTACATCACTCTTGCACTATAGATTTATAGCAATGGTGATGCCAATAGTTAATAACGAAAATTACATTGAGAAGTGGTATAATTATGGTACTCAAAGATCAAAATCCAAAATCAGATAACAATATGCGTGTTTCCAGGGATTGCATGGTTCACTGACCTTCCACCTAGAGCAACTGCCATCTGATTTTCCAAGTAGCTTCTACTGTAAAGTCCAGACTCAAGTCTCTCTTCGCTGGGAGCAAAAAATGTGAGACCACCAGCTTGGCCTCGAGGAATAATTGATATTTTGGCTACAGGGTCATATTCAGGCATCAAAGCACCAACTAAAGCATGGCCAGCCTCTGAAATTAACAAGTAAAAAATGGTTAACGACCCACAAATTGACAGCAAGGAAACTTAGGTATATAACATATACCATGATAGGCTACTAATTTCTTCTTCTCTTCTGAGACGACCGCATTTTTCTTTTCAGGTCCAGCAATGATCCTTTCAAGCGCATCAGATATCTCATCCTTACTTATTTCCTTGAGGTCACGCCTGGCTGCAATAATAGCTGCTTCGTTCATCAGATTCTGGAGGTCAGCCCCCGTGAATCCCGGGGTTCTTCTGGCAATTTTTTCAAAGTCAACATCCTTAGCAAGTGCTTTCCCTCTGGAATGCACCTGACAGAGAAGGTAAGCTTATTAACTAAGATACAGAAATGAGAGTAACATACTCATCTAGACCCCAGCCCAGCAATTAAACTAAGATAAGGTATGTATTATAGTAATATCAATTATCAAAGACTGCACTATAACGTTCCAAAACAATACAAGTATCAAATTCATAAAGGAGAACATAAGGCATTTCCAATAGGAAAAACCCCAATGCACAAAGGCCTCCAACTTTGCGAGAGCAGGGATGAGGGTCTAACGCAGCTTTACCCTAATATTTTTGCAAATTTAGACTATTTCCTATGCTCAAAACCTTGACCTTCCACTCACAAAGGGAGCAACCTTAAAGGTTCGCGCTCATACATCATCACAATAAAATAAAATAAAATAAAAGACAAACCCCGATGCACAGAGCTCCCAAATTTGTGAGGGTCAATTATATGCAATCTTACCCATACAATTTTTGCAAAAGGCTACTTCCCATACTCGAATCAGTGACCTTTCGGTCACAAGAAATAACTTTACGCGGCTCTAAGACTCGCCCTCAATCATACATCATCACAATACAATATTTGAATTCATGACATGACATATTAGCTAACTTGATTCAAGAATTCGAGATTGGTGGTGACCTCACCTGAAGGATCTTAACTCTACCAGCAACATCAGGTCGATCAACAGTGACTTGCCTATCAAACCTGCCAGGCCTTAACAATGCAGAGTCAAGAACATCAGGTCTATTAGTTGCAGCCAAAACAATGACACCCGAATTACCAGAAAACCCATCCATCTCCGTCAGAAGCTGGTTAATAGTTTGTTCCCTCTCATCATTACCACCACCAAGACCAGCACCTCTCTGCCTTCCCACAGCATCAATTTCATCAATAAAAACAATGCACGGTGCCTTCGACTTAGCCTTCTCAAACAAATCCCTCACTCTCGAAGCACCAACCCCAACAAACAATTCCACAAACTCTGAAGCCGCACACGAAAAGAAAGGCACGCCAGCTTCACCGGCAACCGCTCTCGCCAAAAGGGTCTTCCCGGTACCCGGTGGCCCCACCAAAAGACACCCTTTTGGAATCTTAGCACCCAATGCAGTGTACTTATCTGGGTTCTTCAGAAAATCAACTACCTCTTGCAATTCAAGCTTCGCTTGGTCAGCACCCGCCACGTCAGCGAATGTTACACCCGTTTCCGGAACTTCTTGGAACCTGGACTTTGATCTCCCGAAATCCATCGGGCCTCCAAGCCCACCAGGCCCACCGGGCCCACCCTGGGCTCGCCGGAACAGCAAGAACAGCCCTGCGAACGCGAGCACCGGGAACAGCAAGTTTCCGATGAAACTGAACACCCCGTTACCCGAATCGCCTTCGGAAACCGAAATATCGACGCCGCTCATGGCCAGAATGTCGATGAGGTCAGGGTCGTTGGGGACGATGACGGTGGCTCGGCGGCCATCGACGGCGGAGAGTTGGAGGACAGAACCGTCTTTGCTGAACCTGACCCTCTCGACCTTGCCCTTCTTCACAGCGTTCAAAAACTCGCTGTAACGCCATTGGGCACCTTCGGGGAGATCGGAAGTGGACTGTGTCTTAGGGTTTGGTGCAGTGAGGAGAAGATTCTGAGAAAAGGGTGAAGAATTAGAATTAGAAGGGTTGGGTTGTTGCGTTTCAATTACCGTTGGAGGAGGGGTCACGTTATCTAAGGCCAAAGCTTGAGGTTGAGGTGTTAAACTCATAGAGGATAAGATTATGGCAGTTAAAGCAGGTGAGGGTTTCCATTGTTCTGAATTTGGCTCTGTCTTAGGCTGAAGCTTCTTGAAGATGTTTTTTTGAGCGTTTATAAACCTTGTTTTGTAAACAAATGGTGGCGATCTGGTTGCTTTCGGGGATAGGAGACCTTTGCTTCCAACAAAGTTCGAAGAAAGCAACACGTTTGTGGCGAAGGCCATGCTAATGCTACTCAAGTTAGTTACTTCGAGTTTCGAATTAAAATGTCGAGTAAATTATGTGAATGGAAGAAGGAGTGATAGATATACCAGTACCACATTACATTCGGGGAGTTTAATGTTAAAAATCCTAGATTTCGTTTTTTATTCGAAGGATGAAGCAACCTGCTTGAAGCTATGCCATAACTTGGGGTTGTGACTTGTGCGTATGTTTCATACACGTGGCCTGTACTTTATCCATCTGAGGAGCAAGGAAATATCGTAGGGGATTACGGAATGTACACGCCAACTCTCTTCCCCACGTGTTTATTGGTTGGGCCTCTTGTTGCGTTATCTGACAACAATATAGCCCATTCTCTAATTGATGGGTTTTCTCATTGTCATTGGGCCATAGGCCCATAGCTTCTACATCGTGTCCTCTCACCGAGTATTGTTGTCAGAGAAAAAATTGGTAGGCAATTAATGTGAAGATTGAATTAGTTGGAGTTCAATTAATAAAAGATTAAAAGGGTGATTAAGTTGAGATTCATAATGAGAATAAGTGAAAACACAGATTAGCACCAATTGGAAAATAGATCAGAACAACTAAGTGACGAAACTAGTCGATTTCTCATTTTTTAATAATTGTTCACACAATTGCTGTAGCAAAAGTTGTAACGATGCATATCATTTAACCAGAACACATTAGTTTGCTAGAGTTTTCCAATAATTTTGCATGTTTATTTCTGAGTTCCAATGTAACATATTCCTATCCAAATTATGAAATCATAAATCCCTTAAGTTTAAGTTCAAAGGTTGTATGATGTCAGTACATTCTTGTAGCTTATCAACTTAGTTAGATTTATGTTTAAATCCACTAACCATACCGTTTTATATAAGTCTAATATTGATTTCTTTCTAGAAACCAAAATGACAAAACCTTACAAGTATGCATGTGTGATGTCTAATACTAGCTGGGCATTTCAATCAGACCAATATAAAACAGTTTGAAATACATTTAGGCAACTGTCCATGTGTTCAATTATATCAAATGGATACTTTATCTTTTAATTCTATAATTTTAAATATCCTTTTTCACTACCAAAAATGCGGCATGTAGCCACATTGGTTTCACCACACATTAAAATATCATAAAAAAATCCCAAATTTACAACATTATTTAAAAAAGGGATTTATAAATCGTGTGTTGCTGCACCAAAAAAATTATTTGCAACTAAGACAATAAAGAAGAAAAAGAAAGTGAGATGAGAAAAGAAAAAAAAAATTGTGTTCCACACATCTTCATTGTCTCAGCTGCAAAAAAAAAAAAAAAAAAAAAAACGATGCAATAACATATGATTTATAAACCCCTTTAAAAATGTAGCAAAATCACCTATAAGCATCTTTTATGCAAACTTCATTTCTTAGGGATTTTCTTTCATCCCGCAGTATAACAATGATAAGTGTCAAAGACCCTATGATTTTAATATCAAATATAGTGTAAATAATAAATAATGAGGAAGGTTATACTTATAACTTTTTTTTTACAACCTCTTACAACCATATCTTAACACCGTTGATTTCCGACAATCAACGGTTATCATTTATTCTGAATTAATAATTAATTAATGAGTTTAATTTGCGAAAATAATAACCGTTGATTAGCGGAAATCAACGGTGTTAAGATATAATTGTAAGAGGTTGTAAAAAAAGATTGTAAGTATAACCTTCCTCGTAAATAATATAATTAAAAATATAGTATTAATTAATAAAATCTTAAAGTTTAGTAAAATGCCAACAAATAGATAAGATTCTAATCCTTTTATTGTTTCAGGTTGTTTCATACTAGGAATAACAAATTACTAACCTGATGAGGATGAGAAAGCAATTGGCACTGGCGAAAATATAAAAGAAAAATCAGAAAATAAAGATTTGAAAAAGATTCGGTCACGCTTGTAAGAACACGCACCGTTATTTAAGGAAATTAATTGATTAATTATGTGAAATTAGAAAATAATTTCATAATTGACCCTAATAATTGTTATGAGACATAAATAATTATAGTAATTGATTAATAATGCTGAAAGTCGCTTTTCGGACGGAAAGTGCAGATACCGGTTCTGTTACTAGGTATAAATACGTACCGACGAAGTATCCCGGAAAATTATAAAAAGTGTGTGTATGTCACTAAAATAATATATAGGACTGGTAAAACAAGTTTCAAGTTAAAATGATGAGAACTGGTGCCAGAACTGATACTGGTTACGGAAAAGCGCGTACCGGAAAGGTACTGCGAAAAATAAAATAAAAATATGATAAATCTTAGAAAAATGAGTAGGATCAGATTCCAAAGTTTGGGATTAAAATGCTAAGCGTAGCAATTAGCGCTAACACAATGCGATTAATCTTAATTTGAGATAAATAGCCAGGGCACAGACTTTTAGGTCAGATTTATCATTCTCTACGTGCCTCCTTTTTTAGTGTGTGCTCTCCATGGCTGGCCACCTCCATTTCCTTCATGAAATAGCCCAAGTTGTCACCTTTTTGCTTGGTTCTTCCATCTTTATCATGGTAAACACATAGTGGAGTGTTTTGTGAGTGAGGAGAGTGCATCATTTCTGAGTTTTGTCACTGCCTTGTGAGGTGTTGTGGGGCTGACCTTGTGGTTTGAGTGCGAGAGCCATTGTCATGGCATGGTGAGCTTCAAAGTGTGATCTTTGAAGAGAAAGAACCAACCTTTGTATGCCATTTTCGTTTCTCTATTAAGTCAGAGCCTTGGAGACTATTTGTGAGCTCCAAGAGCCTTCTTTTTCTGAGTTGTGAAGCCTTGGGTATGTTCTTGAACCTTTGATCATGAGTTTTATGCTTAAAGGTGGTGTCTTGGCATGTTTCATAAGATAAACAAGTAATCAATGTGATAGATAACCTAAATGAGTTTAAATATGCATGCTTTAACGTTTTAATGCGTTAAAAGATGAACCTTTGGAATGATATCTCGCGAAATGCGGAAACTGCATTCTGTCGCGAGATATCCGGATATGGATATCCGGATATGATATTTGGATATTCAGTAAGGGTGTGCACGTGTGTGTGAGACTTTCATTGTCACCGGTGTTGTTCGGGCACTCGGAGTGAGGAAGCTGAGCCCGCGATTCATTGGGCCATACCAGTTACGTGGTAGAGTAGGACCTGTTGCCTACCGGTTTGCCTTACCTCCGAACTTGGCCAACACCCACGACGTGTTTCACGTGTCTCAACTTCGCAAGTTTGTAGCGGATCCTTCGCACGTGGTACAACTCGATGTTGTAGAGGTTCAGGAGAACTTGAAAACCCCCGTTGAACCACTTAAGATTCTCGATCATGGCGAGAAGCAACAGAGGAGCAAGATCATTTCGATGGTCAAAGTACGATGAACGAGAAAAATCCCCAAAGGGTAATTCTGGGAGCGAGAGGACGAGCTTCTCCGACAGTATCCCGAGCTTCGAGACAGGTATGTTTTCTGATTTTGAGGGCAAAATCCTAAAAAGGTGGGGTGAATGTAAGAACCTGCACCGTTATTTAAGGAAATTAATTGGTTAATTATGTGAAATTAGGAAATAATTCCATAATTGACCCTAATAATTGTTATGAGACTTAAATAATTATGGTAATTGATTAATAATGCTGAAAGTCGCTTTTCGGACGAAAAGTGCAGATACTGGTTCTGCTACTCGGTATAAATGCGTACCGACGAAGTATTCTGGAAAATTATAAAAAGTGTGTATATGTCATTAGAATAATATATAGGTCTGGTAAAACAAGTTTCAAGTTAAAATGATGAGAACTGGTGCCAGAACTGATACTGGCTATGGAAAAGCGCGTACCGGAAAGGTGCTGCGAAAAATAAATAAAAATATGATAAATCTTAGAAAAATGAGTAGGATCAGATTCCAAAGTTTGGGATTAAAATGCTAAGCGTAGCAATTAGCGCTAATATAGTGCGATTAATCTTAATTCGGGTATAAATATCCATGGCACAGATTTTTAGGTCAGATTTATCATTCTCTACGTGCCTCCTTTCTGAGCGTGTGCTCTCCATGGCTGGCCACCTCCATTTCCTTCATGAAATAGCCCAAGTTGTCACCTTTTTCTTGGTTCTTCCCTCTTTATCATGGTAAACACATAGTGGAGTGTTTTGTGAGTGAGAAGAGTGCATCATTTCCGAGTTTTGTCACTGCCTTGTGAGGTGTTGAGGGGCTGACCTTGTGGTTTGAGTGCGAGAGCCATTGTCATGGCATGGTGAGCTTCAAAGTGTGATCTTTGAAGAGAAAGAACCAACATTTGTATGCCATTTTCGTTTCTCTATGAAGTCAGAGCCTTGGAGACTGTTTGTGAGCTCCAAGAGCCTTCTTTTCTGAGTTGTGAAGCCTTGGGTATGTTCTTGAACCTTTGATCATGAGCTTTATGCTTAAAGGTGGTGTCTTGGCATGTTTAATAAGACAAACAAGTAATCAATGTGATAGATAACCTAAATGAGTTTAAATATGCATGCTTTAAGGTTTTAATGGGTTAAAAGATGAACCTTTGGAGTGATATCTCGCGAAATGCATAAACTGCATTCTATCGCGAAATATCTGGATATAGATATCCGGATACGATATCCAGATATGGGTTATCCGGATATGCCCCCGATAAATATCCGGATATTCTGAGTTTTCGAAGAACAATAGCGTACTGTTCATACAGAACTGAGTTGTGGGTTTGTGAACCTTAGTTTGGTGAGTTGAACTTCTGTAATAATTAACTAAGTCAGAACCTAAGTGTTTAGGGGCTTAAGGCTTTGTGAGAAGCCTAAAGTCATGAAACGTAAGGAAAGGCGTAGTCTTTATGTTATATGCTTGTAGAGTATGAATGTTGATATTGTTTTGGTCCAAACAGATTGTGATCTCGCTGTTTGTGGACTTTGAGCTGGTGTGGACCTTGTTTTGGATAGTTAGCTTGCGAGGTAAGCTTTTGTGTCCTCGGTTTAGCAATTGTTTGGTTCCACCATTTCCCATGGGGGGATGGTTGTATGCATGATGTGTTTTCATGTACTGTTTTATTGAAATGCTAATGAGCTGTTAAGTGCAATTGCTTATGATATGTATTGTGTTGTTACGCCTATAGGAGGCCAATGGGCGGTCCTGTGGGTGGATGCAGCGAATGCCTAGTACCGTGTGGGTTTAGATGGATTCCTACACTTCT